ATGTGTGCATTCACAGGCAAATGCATGTCTTGGATGCTTTTCTGCAGGCATTGAGACTTTTTCTCTTATTCTTGAAATTTGACACCTGTGTTAGCCCCAAGCCACTCTGCTGGAAGGCTCTGCAAGTCAGGCTGGAAGGAGCTTGAGTTGTTCTTTACCTGGGGTGGCAGGTTGGTTTTTGGGGGGTTCTTGGACAGGGAGGGACAGGGGAATTTCCTTTCTCTCCTTTCACTCTCCAGTGCAGATGCTGCAGGTGTGTGCCATGTGCCATCATGTTGGCTTTGTGACCACAGCAGGGACAGCCAGTTTCTCCTTTCCTCTGGCTCCTGTCTGGCACAGAATAAGGCAGGCTGGTCGAAAGTGCATCTTCCTGTGGTTTGACAGTGTCCACATCCACCAAAAACCCCTGCTGTGTTTGCTGGCACGCTGGTTCCAGTTGTCAGTAAACCTGACGTGCGAGGCCTCCGCGCCTGCTCGGAAAGTCTCTGCTTTTCCTGACATCTGCAGTGCCACCTTGCAGTGGTCACTTCATTGCAGGAACATTTGAGGCCAGGGGGTTTTTTGCAGGCAGGAGGTGAAATAAGATCAGACTGACATTTCTGACTCTAATCTGTGAACTTTGCTGGATGTCCACGCTTGGGTTGCACACTGAGGCAGTGCGAGCTGAGGTGAAAACATGAGCTGCAGGGTTGGAAGGGTCAGCTGCCATCGTCCTGTCGTAGTCCCCAGAGTAACTTTCTGACCCCAGATGGTTGAGGGACTTTGGATATTTGCATTTTCATGAAGCTGATATAAATGCCTGTCTCCATCTGCAGTGGCTTAGGGGGGAGACTGTAGCTTGGACAAATCATCAAGCTCACTGCAGTCGTAGCCAAGTGTGTTGCCTATGGTTAGCCACAGTATGTGAGACGAATATTTTTTGTCCGTAAAATCAAGGAAGTTGTGGCATAAAAAGAGATCAAAATGGAAGCAGCTCTCAAGCAGCCCTGAGCAAGCAGGTGCCAGTCAGTATTGAGGAGGAAGGGGAAGAAAAAACCAAAGGCAGTCTAAGCTCAGAGAAGAGCTAACTAACTGAGACGTGAGCCGGTGGTGCTTTATGTTTCAGTCTCTTTGAATCCTTATTACTCCAGGTGGTATTTAAGGTGAGAAGGTAATTCACAAATCCTCACTGCAAGCTGTTTCCAAGTGGGTTTTGGGTGTTTTGGCACTCTTAATTTTTGTGGAAACCTTTGGCTGAGCTTGTAGAGGTCTCTAGCCTTCCCTAGCCCTGCCTAAGCCAGCAGATATTGCAGAGCTCAGTATTTTGTAAAATGGCAGGAGCTGTTGCAGGTTGGTCACTCTGAACTGAAAAGACCAATTTCAGTAGTCTTTTTGAACTGAGAGCTGTAAAAAAAGCATGGTATTTACAGGGCTATTCTCTCCTGAGACACCAGGATGCCAGCAGCCAGCTGAGGGGTGCAGATGATCTATAAATCTTTGATTAACAGGTAATGTCTATAGTGTCATACACTCTAGTTCCTTATTTCTCAATTTATTCCCCTCTAAATTCAGTGAGTCCTTTGAATTTGTTTTAATCTTTCAGTTGGGAAGGAGTATTTATGGAGTTTTCTTTACCATTTTAAAAGGTCTGGGAGGGAGGATTTTGTGTTGCTTCTTCTTTCAATTTGTTTTGTATCATTTTAATATTTCATTTTAATGATGCTCCAAGTGTCTTTTTGTTTTTTAATTGGGATTAAAAAAGTAGACTTTTTTTTTTTTTTTTTTACATAATTGGTTGGCTTATCTGATTTTTGGGTTTTTTTCTAATTTGGGTCTGGTCTTGTTTAAAATGGAACAGGTACAGATGAACAGGATAATCATATGCACATCATTTGCACATATGGTGTGTAAAACTTTCTAGTGAAAATATAAGCTAATAGTGTAGCACTGCTGTGAATTAGGCTGTCTTGCAGGGAGGGGATGAGGAGGAAGGATGTGTGTGTGCTTCACTTGAATACCCCAGAAGATGCATTGTTCCAGACAAATGACTGAATTTGCCTTTTACAAAAACACTGCAGCGTATGAACTTGACATTTCAGCCAAGTGGTTGAGAAAATAGGGGCAGGAATTTGGAGGATGCAGTTAGATTTGGGCTTGTTTGTTTTGGTTTTTTTTTTCCCTGGGGCCAGTGGGAACCCACAACTCCCCTCAGCCCATCCTGGTTTGTGGTTGTCATCATTGAGCTCCTCTGGAATGAGCTGGGTGTTGATGCTGCACTGTGCACCCAAGGGCCACCTTCACCCCGAGGGACCCTGCAGAGTTTATTTGTGCAAGTGGCAAGAGCCAATTTATGATTCTCTGGGCCATGTGTATGTGCCTCACTGCAGTGGCCTCACAGGGAGCCTCGTGGTGCCCACTGTCAGCAGTGTCAGAGAGCAGAGCGTGGTGGGATGATAACCAGTGATAACTGCCTCATTTAGGTTGGTGACTCTTTATTAAAGGACCTAAAAACAAGCCTGGTGTGGGGAAGTGACCTGAGATTCTCAGAAATGTGCTCACCAGCAGCCCAGCCTGGAGGAGATACCACATGCACCTTATGCCCATTCTGAGCTGGCCTAGTTTCCACTGCACCTCCTTCTAGCTTAAAAAACCACCCAAAACCAGCAGAAGAAAGAAACCTTCCCTTTCTTAGCCTTTCAGGTGCATCACACAGTGAGCCCTCATGTGGGTAATCCCAGGGCTCTGTGTGCATCTGTGGCTTGGTTCCCTGAGGCAGAAGTGGTTCCTGGGGCTGGCAGGCACTTCTGCAGCCACTGGAGCAGGGAGGAAGAGCAGCTCAACAGAGCAGATGGCTGTAAAACCTGCTGCCTCTCTGCCTGGGAGTCCTGAGCCACGTGCATGGGGTTCCATCTGAGGCAGCGTGGGGCAGAGGTGTTCCTTGATGTAGTTGCTGTGTTTTGAAACCAAAGGACCACATCTTCACCTGACATGTCACTGCCTTGCTCCGTTGCAGTCGGGTGAAAGCGGCTTCGTCTGGAAATTTGGGGCTGAGCTCATGAGGTCTGCTCTTGTGCTCACACATGTTTGTGCAAGGGTTGTTGTGGGGACTGTTTCATCATGGGGCTGTTCACAGGACACCTGTGATCCTCCCTGGGTCTGAAAGCATGTGTAACCCCCCTGGATAGCCTGTTCTCCCTAACCCTTGGAGCTGGGAGCAGCAGGTGGTGCAGGGCTGCCTTGGTCCATGGCTGGATATAGAGCGGAGGCATTTCCAACAGGAATTCATAGAATCTCTGTATTCTGTGAAGGGCTGGCTGTGGAATCATAGATTCATGGATTAGGCTGAGTTGGAAGGGATCCGTCAGCAGCACTGAGTCCAGCTCCTGGCCCTGCACAGCACCATCCCCAAGAGTCCCACCCTGTGCCCGAGGGCACTGTCCAAACCCTCCTTGAGCTCTGCCAGGCTTGGTGCTGTGACCACTGCCCTGGGGAGCCTGTTCAGTGCCAGCCACCCTCTGGGTGAAGCACCTTTTCCTGATATCCAACCTAAACCTCCCCTGACACAGCTTCAGGCCATTCCCTCACGTTCTGTCACTGGGCACCACAGAGATCAGTGCCTGCCCCTCTGCCTCCCTCTGAGGATATTGAAGAACCACAGTGAGGGAGGGGAAGCACTTCCAACAGGAATTCATAGAATCTGTGAATGCTGTGGAGGGATAGGCATGGAGGCATTTCCAACAGGAATTCCTAGGTTCTGTGAAGGCCTGGGTATGGAGGATGGGCATTTCCTCACAGAGCAGCATCAAAGAGTAGGGCATGACTGTGTTAGTCCTACAAAAATAAATATTCAGTTACAAGCCTGTTTCTTATTCCTCCTTCAGATCCTGTGCTTTGCAGTGCCTTGACCCAGATACAGATGGCCACTTGCACTACTGGGGAGTTGGACATGTGGCTTTCTGGAGCCCAGTGCTGAGAAATCATGGCTTATTTGCTCGCTCTCGGCAAGACCTAGGGCAGATTTGCTTTGTGTGGGGGTTGTGGACCACGAAGGGAGAACATTGGGAACACTGAGAGATCCTGCCAGCTCTTGTAATTATCTTGTAATGATTTGCTTGCAAGCTCCCTAAGCCCTGCTACTCTTTTTGGAAACAATAAATTTTCTCTGGGAAGCAGCAACACAGCTGTCTCTGTTTGGGGATGATTTGGAAAACCTCCCTTCTGCTCTGCAAAGCATAAACTACCAAAACAGGGAAAAATGACTGTTTTCTTGGGGAAGCCCTTTGGCTTCAGTGAACTGGGATTGAGCCCAAAGCTGACTTTCTAAGGAGTGCATGAATTATTTCCAAAAAGATAAAATGCAAACTAAGTGGAATTCCTGAGCCAGGCTGATTTTTTTTTTTTTCTGGGGGAAAATTGGACCCTTGTGATAGGTGATAAGGTCCCAGGAGCCCTTTGGTCTTGTGTGGGTAATAAGTGGACATCAGCTATGACTTTTAAGTAGAAGAGGATAGAAGTTGGCCATCACACTGTTGGTTTTGGGCACAGGGAGAAAAAGGATGCTTTAGAAATCTGGATTTTTTTTTCTTACCATGTGATGACAAAGAGGAAAGTATGAGAATACAAAACAGCTTGTAGAGCTGGTGAGGACAAATGGCTAAAGTGATGCTGGAGATGGATTTTAGTGTTGCAAGAGGCAGTAACCAGTGTGTGGATTGTCCTTGGTGGCTCTTGCAGTCAGGGAATTTCTTCAAGCCCCATAAAACCTCCTAAGACAATGAACAAATATAATGGGTGTATGTAGCTTCTGTCAGCCACTGCTATGCTTCCAACAGTCCCTGCCCTGCTAACAGGTGAACAAATAGGGATAGAAAACTGAAATGAAAATAAATAAATTTTTAGAAAAGCCAAGAAAAATAGAAAAGACATCTCTCTTGTGTGAAAATTGACAGGATTAATCTCTGCGTGTAGGTTGAAATAAACCTGCCTGATCCCATGGATTTTGTTTCCTCCAAGTGTTTTTTTTTTAATTTACAGTAACAATTGCTCTGAGAGTTTATTCATCCTGATCCCAGTCCAGGAGTGGTGCAATGCGATTTCCTCCTGTGGCTGCCACTTGCTGCAAAGCCTTTCGTGTCACTGTTTCCTGTTGACTCAAATGCTCCTTTCTTACCACGTCAAACAGAGATACCACATCAGGCTGACTTCTGGGCAAAGCACAATAGAAAAATAGACATGTGAGGAGTTCAGCGTTGGGCCCTGTCAAAAAACAATCCAGTTTTCAACTCCTCCTAATTCCCACTGATAGTCCCCAAGAAAGGAGGAGACACATAACTGACTCTTAGGTCAAATTTGCAAGTGTCTGAACTACCTGCTGTTTTAAGACCTACATTTCCTGGCCCCTTCTTAAGTTATTTACTCAGTCTTACTCTTCTGGCTGCAAATTGCCTTCTTTTTTTCTTCTTTCCTCTTTTTTTCTGTTTGCCTCCCTCTCTCCTCCTCTCCCACCCTCTTTTCCTTTCTTCCCCCTGCCCTTCCCTTCCTCTCTCTTCTCCCCTCTTCCCCCCAGCTCCCTCCTTCCTTCCCCCTCTTTTCCTTTCCTTCCCTTCCCCCCTCTTTCTTTCCCCTCCTCTTTTTTTTTTTTCAATATAATACCACTGTTTACTTTATTGCTTAATGATTCCTGGGAGAGTGGTTGGTCTTGGCAGTTTTGCAAGCTGATGGTCTTCCTTAAGAGTAAACATGGAAAGCCTTTCCTGGCTTCTAGATGATCTTCCCCAAAGGATGGTCAGTAGTGCTGATTTTCCAAATGCTTGTTGCCAGGCATGTAGTTGACCAGTGCACAAATGCTGCCTTATAAACCAGTTGTAATACCCATCCTGCTCTTTTCTTCAGCAGCCCTATGGGATTTCTAAGTGTTAGGAAACTGGGCAGACAATAAGCTGGACCTCCTTAAAATAAGTTGAAAAAAAAAAATTTAAAAAGATGCAGTAACCCAAAGTTCTGTATCTATGCTTGACCAGTGAAATGAGCCCGTGGGTGGGTGTGACCTTATAACAGGTGCAGTTATACTTGCTCAGATTTGCAGTTAGTCTGAAGCAAAATCAGTTTTTAGCTAAAAAGCTGCTAATTCCATGGCAGCAGTGATGTGAATTTTAAGACCAGCTGTTTTGGTGCTTACCTGAACATCTGAGAAAGGAGTAGTGTCTTTCTGTAAGCATCATAGTAAACACGAGTACAGCCAGAAATCTGAGGTGGGTGGCCCTGCTCTGGAGAAGCTGGACATACATGTTTTAAGATAGAAAGTGTTAATTTTGTTTCTCTGAAGGTCACCTTTAAGGAAAGCGTAGAAAATCCATGTGTGTTCCCCTAAGTGCATGCATGTTTATACAGGCATATGTATCACTTACATAAATACACACACCATCCCTCACCAGGCTGCTGGTGAATTAAATTGCTTCCTGTTGGGGATCTGGCAAGAGGGATTTCTTTTTAAGTATGGGCTTGAGGAGATGCCTGGACAAGCTGGGCTAGATAAGCATGTGTCATGTGGAGAGATCAGCAAGGAAGGAGGTGGGAAAGAATAACAAGATGTAAAAGCTGGCCTGACTGGAGAGGCAGAGGTGATACCTGTGCTGCAGCCAGAGGAACAGGCAGGCACAGCACAGCCAGAGTGAGTTTAACCATCTGCAGTGAAAATGTGGCATTAGAGGGCTGATGTGGGCTGAAGAGCCAAGGCTGGTGGTGGGTTTGCACAGTTCACGCTGCTCTGACTCAGACTGCTGCCTAGACAAGCCAGCTCTGGTGTCTTTCAGTGCCCTCTCATAAAAACAGAGTGAAACAATGAGGTTGTGTTGTCTGTATGGACTGGAGATAGCATTCAGCACATGGCCTTGGTGCTGCAGTAGTGTTGTGGGAGTGCTGGGAGCAGTGGTGAGGCTGCACCTCAAATTCTGCATTCAGTTTGGGACCCTCACTGCAAGAAGGACCTTGAGGTGCTGGAGTGTGTCCAGGGAAAGACAGCAGAGCTGGGCAGGGATCTGGACACAGGTCTGATCAGGAGGAGCTGGAGGGGCTCAGCCTGGAGAAAAGGAGGCTCAGGAGGGACCTTCTGGCTCTGCGCAACTCCTGACAGGAGGATGGAGCCAGGTGGGGCTTAGGCTCTGCTCCCAGGGAACAAGGGACAGGACAAGAGGAAATGGTCTGAAGTTGCACCAGGGGAAGTTTAGATTGGATATTAGGAACAATTCACTCACTGAAAGGGTGGTCAGGTCTGTCCAGGGCAGTGGTGGGGTCACCATCACTGAAGGTGTTTAAAATATGTGTAGATGTGTGGCACTTGGGGACATGGTTTAGTGGTGGGCTTGGCATAGTTGGGTTAGTGGTTGATGGTCTCTAAAGGTCTTTTCCAACCCAGATGATTCTATGATTTCATGATCTTTACCTTCTGGAAGGGGACCAGTAGGAACTGTTGGGCAGAGCCCAAGTTGGCTATGCAAAGGAAGCTGTCCTCATGTGTTACAAGCCATTTGCTTTCCTGCTCATGTCCATTGAGAAATAAGGGAATTTCTGGTTGTTTTTCTTCTGTCATGTGCATCTCAAGATGTTAACACCAGTACTCATTTCAAGCTGGCTCGCTGCCAGAAAGCGGAGCACGACAATGCTTATCCTCTTAAACTTAGAGAGGGTTTAAAAGTAGCTTGTAGATAATTAGGATCAGACCTGGGAAGAGGCTTGTGGGAAAGAAGGGAAAATATTACCATTAAAAAGCCTGGCTGATCTCAGTTGAATTCTATGCCTGTTTTCCAATCTGCTTGTTCCTGATATTCAGAGAAAAACTGAAACAACAAATACTGAAAGTCGTGAAACAATTGCTGGGAGGAATTTTTGAACTGGACGGCAACAGTTCCAGGGTTTATTTTTGTGCCAAATCTCTCTGTGTCCTTCCTCTCACAATCAAGTGAACACATGTGAAACTCCTGCTCACTGTGGAGCACACAGCTTAAGTGCCTCCCTATATGCAGGCTTTTGCAAAAGCCAGAAAAGAAACCAAAAACAAAGCCAAAAAAGAAACCTCAGAGACCAACAGCTGTGGTTAATGAACTCAACTTTATCAAACAGGTTGCTTTTCTGCTCAGCAGAAACTTTTATTTATGCTTCGTGCTTATCAGTTCCTCTATTCCCCAGAGGTGTCTGCAGGTTAATCAAAGGAAAGCTGGAATCTGAGGGCCCAAAAAGCCGCTGCCATGCAAGTGTATGGCAGGAAATCCCATCCTGGAAAACAGCCCACATTCTCCAGAAATAATGTTGGGATATCCTCGAGACAATGTTGTGCTGTTGTGGTGAAGCTGCAGTCTGGTTATGTACATTTTGTTATGGAGCAGCTTTCCCCTGAGATCTGAGGTGTTTACTAGGGAGTGAATGATTTTTTGCAGATTTCTCTTGTGCCACTCAGCTCAGAGAGTACTGATGAAGGGCTATCATTCCCTGCTGGCTGAGGCTAAGGATAATTCAGACAAACCCAATGGGAGCTGATTACTGATGAGCACACACTTACTAACATGCCCAATCCACACGTGAACAGGACTTCATTTCACCACTGGGGTCAAAACTTTTAGGAGTGCAGGGCAAGAAGGTACTAACAGATCTTCCTGGCATTGATTTGATTTCTCCTGAAAAAATCAGCCTTTTCCCCCACTCACTGTCTCATGCTTATTAATCTGTTTTTGTTTGGAAGAAAATAGTTTCACTAAGACTTTTCCAAGCCTGAGCAAGGCTGTGGTTAATGCTGTTCATGTTTGCTGTGTTTGCCTGTGTTAGGATCGCCTGTTTTTCGTGATGGAGTTTGTCAACGGCGGGGACTTGATGTTCCACATCCAGAAGTCGCGGCGCTTCGACGAAGATCGGGCCCGGTTCTACGCTGCAGAAATTATTTCAGCCCTCATGTTTCTCCACAGCAGAGGCATCATTTACCGGTGAGCTCGGCATTCATGGCTTCCCTTTGTCTGAACCCCATGGCTGAGATGAGAGCTGGAGTTTCTCTGCTTGAATAAAGAAGTGTCACTTACTGCCCACCAGGAACAAGTTGTCAGCTGGGGTCACAGTACCTCCACATTCCCCCTGCATGTTGGCCAAGGTGCACCACTTTCCAGGAGGGAGGGAAATTTCTGGGCAGGCATTAAATGAAACTTTCCCAGATTTTCTGCCTGGTCAATGTAAGGATCTGGTGCTTTGGCCACAGTGTGCCATGTTATTTCAAGGCTAATATGTGCTGGTCACACCAAAGCCTCTGCTTCCCTGCAGAGGGAAGCTACTGTCTTTAAACCTTATCTATTTCACATTCTTATTATTCAGTGCCACCCATCTCAGCCACTAAAAGTGTTTTCATTCCTGCCACGGTCCTACAGCAGGAGCTTTTCCTTCCTGTCGATGTCTGGCATCTTTGTGTTTGCAGCAGGATTGGAGCATTGTTGCCTCCATGCGTCAGCCTCCACTCGAGTCTCAAGGTGCTTCTCATGAACCTGTTTCCTATACATAGCTCTCCTTTGTTATTTGTCCTTTTTCTGTACTCAGGGGGGCAGTTTGGTTGTATTTTTTCCTTCCTGCGCTGCTGAAGTGCTCCCCTGTCAGCTCAAGCATAAAGGCATAGAGCAGCCAGCATGGATCAGAGCCAGGCTGCGTGCAGAGCCCTCCCTGGGCCAGCAGCACCATTTGCCCAGCATCCTCCCTCATGCTCCAGACACAGAGCAAGGCCTCTTCTGGGATGGAGCAGGACAGCTGGAGCAGGGAGGTGTCAGCACTGAGACAGTCTGGTTGTACAGAAAGGTTTCTTTCTGTCATACATCACACAACACCTCTGGAATCCCTGTGCCCAGAGCACTGGGGAGGAGGAACAGGCTGTTGTTTTCTTTGGAATGCTCTTACCTGGAATCCAGCAGCAAAGCACGTATTTTTGAGCATGGCCTGCTGTAGCCTTGCTCTGTCCCACTTGTGGCACACCAGCACTGCAAAGAATAGTGTCAAGTCTCTTTTTTTTGCTTCTTGGTTACAGCTGTACTGCTGGGATCCAGAGCTGGGTGCAGGATGGGACCAGTTCCAATCCCAGACCAGCTCTGCTAGTGCCATTTCTGTGGGTTGGGCCAAATGGCATCTGATTTGGGACTTCACACAGTTTAACCCAGTCAGTAGGACATCCTCCCATGACGGATAAACTCAGATTTGAGCTCACAAAAGCCAAAATAGCTGAGGGCTAAAGTGGCCAAAGGGCTGGGGGCTGTGCAAGGGCACTTTCCTATCTGATGGGGAGATGATAGGATCAGCCAAATGAAAGCAGCTTCTCTGTCTCTTCATAGCTTGAGCTCCAGTAAGAAACAGATGGTCAGGTGAGGACAGAGAATATTAAAATATTTTTAAGTCTGAACTCATGTGACATATATGACACAGTGAAATAGAGAAGGGGTGTCATTTTAATATTCTCCACGTCCTGAGAGCCTGAAAATGACTAGTGATATGTACCCTATGTATCAAGCTCCTAAAGCACAGTGATTGTCTGTCCTATAGAATAGCAAATCTCTTTTCTCTACAGCTGGATTTCAGTCTAATTCTTCCCTTGTGAGTAATGCCAGCTACTGAGGAAAGGCCCTGCCAGATAATTATGCAAATGACATTTTCCTTAAAATAGTGACATCCAGTAGTTATTGTCAGTCATTCAGCAGCAAAACAGGGTCTGTGCATAATGTAATGCCTTGTGCTTACAGCTTGTCCTGTCTGCCCCAACCTGCTGCCTGTCACAGGGCAGGAGTAACTGATCCCTGTGGGTTTTGGCACTCTTCAAATGCTGCTGTAATTCATGATAGAAACTGGAGGAATAATTGGAAAGCTCCTCGAACAACTGCACAGG